TTAGGGTTTAGGGTTTGGGGTGGGATGTTGGGAAAGATGAGCCCGTCGGGATTCTCAGGGCTTCGGGCTTAGTTTAAACCCTAAACCTGTTGAACCTTGAGATTTCAGGACTGATGGAATATGGGAAGTCGGGGTGGAAGGACGGTAAGTCTGGGATTTCGGGCGGTCTGGGTTTAGGGTTTAGGGTGTAAGCAGTCGGGTGCGGCGATGGAGGGCTGGGGCTAAGAGCACTATGGGGCTTCGAGGGTTCTGAGATTGTGGCCCCCCCACGCCGGGCCGCCTTGCAGCTTTGGGGTTTAGGGTTTAGGGTTCAGGCTGTGTAAAACCGAATCCCAAGCACGTAAGCCCAAAGCAGCTGGCTACAATCCTGGGAACAGACCAGAGGCTATGATAGAAGGTCATGAAGAGACCAAGACCAACGAGAAACAATCAGAGAACAATTTTTTAAAAGGGTTTAGGGTTTAGGTTTGTTAGCCTGAACTAAGTGGGCTATATACAACTCCTAAAGCTTACAAATTCAGCCATGAAGGGTACAAATCCGGAAGCACTACCCAGAGAGCCTCTGATTTCAGGGATATTGTAGTCCACATGTACTGGGCTCCGGGCGGTGAGTCGTACAAAGTCCTCTGACCCCCAGTTCCTAAACCATTAATCCGAAACCCTCAATGCTGGACCCTCCAAAGACGAAGTCCTAAACCCGCGGCCGACAACCCTAAACACCCTCAGGCACTACCTTCTTATCTGACAAAGAGGACATGAGTATGAGCAGTTTACTAGGATATCCTTATCTTCTCGCGCTTCACGATAGGAGGACGGGGATTTATATGGGATATCCGGGATATTGCTGGGTGTTTTGGGGGCCCGTGGTGCAACGCATCCAGCCCTCGGGCTCCGCGTAGACCATGGAGTCGTCCACTGGCACGGCCAACATGCGGATCACAATTTCCTTGGGAGGACGCTGCCTTACTCCTTAAATCCTAAACCCTAAATCCTNNCCCAAACCCTAAACCCAAAACCTTCAGACCCTGCCCTAGGCGTTGAAGCCAAAACTTCATCTTAAGACCCACCCTAAACCCTAAGACGGGCCCCTAAGACCCAACCTGCACGCCTAAACCTTGAGACCCAGCCTTAACACCTAAACCCTAAACCCTAAACCCTAAACCCCAAACCTTACGTCCGAAACCCGGGCGGAGGCTGGAAGTCGACAAGGGCCTGAACACTTGGGTTTAGGGTTTAGGGTTTAGGGTTTAGGGTTTAGGGTTTAGGGTTTAGGGTTTAGGGTTTAGGGTTTAGGGTTTAGGGTTAAGGGTTAAGGGTTAGGGGTTTAGGGTTTAGGGTTTAGGGTTAAGGGTTTAGGGTTAGGGGTTTAGGGTTTAGGGTTGACAAAGCAGGGATAGTTTAGACTGCAACTATACGCTGTTTGGGCAGCCTGAA